GGCTGTGTACGAGGTCACGGGCGCCCGAGGCCAAGGAGCCACACGGGCTTCCCCACGCGTGTGCCACGGGCAGGAGGGAGCCGAGGTCACAATGCTGAGGCTGGAGCCAGGCAGTGTGCGAAGGTGTGAGATTTAGAATTCAGATTCCCCGGGGGGGAAAGGCATACATCCGCCCATCCCGGAGGCAATGCGGCCCAGCCGTGGAGTTAGGGCTCTGAGATAGGGGCGGCAGAGGCGGAGAGATACCACGGGGCTCGATCCCAGTGCAGGGCATGCTGGAGGCAGCCGGTCCATGATTCTCTCTCATCATCGATGTTTCTCTTTCTCTCTCTCCTTCTCCCTTCCTCTCTGGAATCAATAAAAACATATTTTTGAAAAATGAATGGGAAAAAAAATACCGTTAGGTGAGGATTAACGAAGGAAGGAAGAGTGGGAGGAAGGAAGGGAGGGAGGGTAAGTGGGAGGAAGGCAGGCAGGCAGGCTACTGTCAACCCCAGGCATCCTACCGTTTCCCAAAAACCCACGTTTTGCTTCCAGATGGATAATCAGAGAAATGGAGCCGTTTCCTCGGTTCCCAGTGGCTGTGTCTGTGAGAGGGGGCTGGCTGGAGGGCTCAGACCTTCCGCCCAGCGGTACGGCCGCTCAGTAAACTCGGACTTGTTAGCATCCGTGGGGACCCATTAAACCTCTCCCCTAGCAAGTGCTGCTGAGGATCTGGAGACATGCTGCCGGGGGGCTGTTTTATTTGGAGTTTTAAAATGTGATTCTAGCCGAAACCGGTGTGGCTCAGTGGATAGAGCGGAGGTCTGCAGACTGAAGGGTCCCAGGTTTGATTCCGGTCAAGGGCATGTACCTTGGCTGCGGGCACATCCCCGGTGGGGGGGGTGCAGGAGGCAGCTGATCGATGTTTCTCTCTCATCGATGTTTCTAGCTTTCTATCCTTCTCCCTTCCTCTCTGTAAAAAAGCAATAAAATATGATTAAATTATAAAATATGATTATATATATATATATATAAAACCTTAAAAAGTTAAAGACCTGGGGTAACTGGTCCTGCATCTTTGCAAAGGCTGGTTTCATCTGGGAGCCTATGAACAGCCTGCAAACAGGCTCCGCCACGCTGGGCTGCATGCTCTTCCCAGCAAACACTGTTCGCTTAGTATTGCCTGAAAACAGGCCCCACTTCACATCTGAAAACCATTAGAACGTGTGTGTTTTTCTTCCAAACACCCGCCCGCAATTTTCAGAAGCGCACACATGCACAAAGACTGGGAGAGAAGTCACCCAGATCTTGTCTGGATAATAAGATGAGTGGTGATTTTGTTCCATTACATGTCCCTGTGTTTCCAGCTTTTTGGAGCAACGGACCTATATCCTTTTATGAGCAGAAAAAGTAATTTTGAGAACATGAAATCAAATTTCCTTTAAAAAAAAAAAAAAAAAAAGGACATGAGTGTGTTTTAGTATCCTCTTATTGTCTCAACTCCAAGTATTTTATTTATTCAGAGAAAAGTTTCTATCCTTTAGATTAGGGGTGTCGAACTCAATCAGAGAAGGGGCCAAAATCTAAAATCCAGCCTAAATCGCGGGCCGAATGGTTTACTGAACAGTCATAAACTGTCACTGTGATGGAAACGCAGCGGAGTGCAGTGATGACAGCGCGGTGCGGGCCACATTGCAAGGCCTGGCGGGACGGATTTGGCCCGCGGGCCTTGTGTTTGACACATGTGCTTTAGATGAAGACATTACCCACTGTGATAGAAATTACATGCCCAATGACAGCTTACTAGACTTAGAAAAAGGACATGGACATAAGAGTCTCAAACTCTGCTTCCATTCCTGCTCCCACACACACCTGTGGAATCGCTGTGCAACCTTGGGCAAGTGTCAGAACCTCTCTGGTCCACAGTGTCCTCACCTGTAAAAGGACAGTTGTGAGGACTAAAGAGCTGCCTGGACAATAAAAGGCCATGTGCCTGAAGGTATGCAAACACACACACACACACACACACCCCAACTCAGATTTACGCTGCACCTTTGAAATGTGAGACACATGCACTCAAAGACAGAGGCTGATAGAAAATAGATTAATTGGCACACTGAGATATTTTCATTTGAAAACAAATGAAGATAAATGTGCAAAGTAGACAACAAGCCCTGAAAAAGATGTTGTGCTTACGGCCGGCCCTGGCCATATCCATCTTTGCTCCCGGCCCCTAGTGGGAAGCAGAGAGAGGTTAACAGTGGGAGGTCCATCTGAGAGGTTCTTTTTAAAAAAAATATATATATATATTCCATTGATTCCCCACAGAGAGGAAGGGAGAGGGACAGAGAGTTAGAAACATCGATGAGAGTGAGACACCGATCACCTGCCTCTTGCACACCTCCTGCTGGGGATGTGCACAAAACCAAGGCACATGCCCTTGACCGGAATCAAACCCGGGACCCTTCAGTCTGCAGGCCGACGCTCTATCCACTGAGCCACACCGGCCAGGGCTTCTGAGAGGTTCTTAGAGCCTGGAGCTCACCCACTGCAGACACTCAATCCCCAGCAGCCACTACTATGACCCCCCCCAGGAGGAATGTGCCATCCTCATCTTGCAGCCTAAGCATGGCAGGGGGAAGGTGTCCTAATTGCTGGATGTAGTTAAGCGCCCGATTCCTTGTTTGGGGTGTCAACACATGCTAAGCCACCAATATGGCTCATCGCATCAAGGAATATCCATGGACTGAGACTTGGGGAGCGTCCCTGGCATTTGGATTCAAAGAGCACAGATTCTCTTTATTCCTAAGTCACTGGAATCTTGCCACTTCCACTGGGTATCTGGACCTGACCCAGCCTTGGGTTCTGACCATTGGGCTGCCCCCGGACCAGGGGCTGGAGTCCTGGAGAGCAGGGGCCAGCGTGGGATCAGTGCCGTGCCCGGTTTTGTCCAGATGTCTCTTAGTCAGCCATGGCACAGGCAGTCCGTCTCATCAACCTGCTATCGAATTATCTATCATCTGCCTCCCCGCCACACACACACCTGAGTGAGAGGAAATGATTCCTTCTGGCTATCCGCCCTGCTCCAGGGGCCAGTTCAGAGAACCCCGTGCCTGACAGCTTGATGGAGCTCTCTGGTCCCTGCCCGCCTCTGGCCAAGCAAACGCACTAAGAAGTGGCCATGGAGGTTATTCTGGGGGGCGGGGGTGCTATGGCTAGCCCCCCGGAATGCGGGTAACCTGTCAAATCCAAAGAGGCAGAGGGAGCGTCTTGGAATCACATGATCTGTCCTGCGCCCCTGTTCTTTCCTTAACATCTGTCAGCAGCTGTGAGGCTCGATCCCCCGCAAGAGATGAGACCCAGAATTCCGGGGCCGAGAAAGAGAGGGGGCAGAACCCCACGAATTCTCACGCCAAGGATGTTTGATCCCCCAGGCAATTCCTGGGTCTGACGATTCCTCTCTCACCCTCCGATTTCTAACTCAACCGGCTCACGGGCTTCTGCCACCTTATACATAAGGGGAAGCTGGGAGGTCAGCCAGGCCCACCTTCTCACGTTTGAGGTGGGGCAGGCGACAGGCAGGTCTCTTTCCTAAGGTGACGACGTGGTGAGAGGCCTTTCCCCTCCCCGGGGCCCCGCCTCCTCCATCCAACAGATGCTCCGGCTGCTCAGTTCCATTTGAAACCGCTTGTGCTTAACGCCGCGTCTCCCCCACCCGGGAACTTTCCTCCGGTGGTCACTCCGGGTCATCTCCCACGTGGAGAGCATGCGTGCTCTCCAGGCCTCCCCAGAACCAGGCGGAACTCGTCTCAGGGGCTGCCCCTGGGCCCGGACTTGCTGGGCAGGGCAGAGCAGGGCAGGGCAGGGTAGGGCAAGGCTGCTAGTGGCAGGAGACTACACCCTGTGGGGGCTCCCTCTACATCGCCTGGCCTTAGCCAGCCTGGCCCCCGGTTCTCCGATGGGGAGGCAGAGGGCGTCAGCCGCCCGGGAGAAAGGAGCGGAGTCTGTGGACTTCGGTAAGAGGACTGGCGCTCCTTTGCCGGGGTCTCTGCTCCCTTGCTGGTTGTGTTTAGAAGCAGCCCGTCTCCCGTCCCCACAGCACACCCGTGTCACCGGAACAGCGACCCTCAACGGGGGAGCCCCCTGGAAGGGTGCCAGGAAAGCTGGTCCCCACTAAGGATGCTGCCCGCCATGCTCTGCCAGGTGCGTGCGGGGAGCGGGAGGAGGAACCTTCAGGAGCCAGAAGTTGGCTGGCTCAGGCCCCCCGGAGAGCAAAGGAGGGTACTTGCCTCTCTCGGCCTCTCTCTGCCTGACTTTCCTGCACCTCACTCATCCCTGGCCCCTTGCCCCCCACTTCCTCCCTTTTCTCTGCGGCCACATCAACCCCCCATGACCTGGTGGGCCTCGCCCCACCCCTACCCCCCACCCCCCGCCCCCCGCCCCCCGCCCAGCCTCGCTACTTTCTTCCCAGGCGCTGCCTTAAGTCTCTCCACTTTGTCTCCAATTATGTCTACACGCAGCCCACCGCAGCCAGATGCTGACATTTTAAATGTTTAGTTGTTATAGTTACTTGACTAATTGCGGGCCCAACTGCCGAGCTTCTCCTGCGGGCAGGAGGGAGGGAGGGAGGGAGGGAGGGGGCAGGGGAAGGAGCGGGCGGCTGTCATCGCCACTCCTGGGGCCCCAGATGTTGGCCAGGCCCTGGCAAGGGTGCCTTGCCCGGGAACCAGCGGTCCCGACGCCCCCGCCAGCGGCCAGGTCACCAGGTCACCGAGAAGAGGACGAGCCTGGGCCCCCAGCCTCCCTGGGGTGCCCCCAACTGTCCCGCGCCACCGGGACAGGGGGCCACCGAGGGTCCATCCACCCTGCAGATGCTCCACGCTGCCTCCCAGTCCGCCCATACTCGCCATGCAGAGGCAGTGAGATGGCATTCTGGAGGAGCTGGGGCAGGGGGCGGACAGGGGTGCGTGTTGGGGCGAAAAGAGAAGAGTTAGGAGCCGCTGCCGCCCGTTACTCACGTGCCAGATGGCGAAGAAGATGAGCGCGGCGCACAGCACCAGGGAGAGCATGTAGCAGAAAGCGGCGAACGTGAAGGCCATGGCCGGGCCGCCGGGAGCCAGCGGCGCCCCTAGCAGGCCGGGGGCCCCCTCCGGGGCCGCGCTCCCTCCGGACCGGACCCGGACGGTCCCGCGGGCCGGCGGCTGGGCGGCGGGGACTCCAGCTCAGCGGTGCCACAGGCGCCGCCGGCCACCGCGGAGGCCAGCCAGGTGCCCCGGGCGCCCGTTGGCGGGAACTGTGCCCGGATTTCAGAAGCCGGGTCCGCGGAGAAGTCCTGCGGGTGGCGGCCGCCGGCCAGGCGCGGGGTGCGAGGGCGGAGCGGGCGCCGGGCGCCGGGCAGGGTCGGGGCGGTCCGCTCCGGGGCCGGAGGGGCCGGAGGGGCCGGAGGGGGGGCGAGCGCCGCTCAGGACCCTCCCTCCCGCGTCCAGGTGCGGGGGCGGGCGCGCTCCGGCTGCTCCCGAACCCCGAACCCTGAACCCGGGGCCCGCACGGCTTTCCCCAAGGAGCAGCTCCTCCGGGCGCCCCTGGGACCTGAGCGCCGATCGCCGCTGCCGGGGCTGCTGCGCGCCCCCGGGACCCCGGCTGCCGCGGCCCTGGCCCGCCGGCCTCGGTCCCCCAAGTTCCCCGAAACTAGGGGGCCGGACTGGGGCGGGGGACGCACGGGCTCCAGCCCCGCGGGCCTTCCCGCCCGGCGGCTGCGGGGCGGGATCTCAAGGACGAGGGCTGCCCGCCGCCGCCGGTCCACCTGCTGCTGCCGCCGCCCCAGCCGCTGAGCTCGGAAGCTGCGCGCCGGGGTCCCCCTCCCCGCGGCGCCCCTCCCTCCCCGCGGGCGGAGACTGCGGCGCGGGGGCCGGGAGGTGGGCGGCGGCGGCGGCGGCGGCGGGGCGCTCAGCGCGGGGTCCCCCCGCCCCCCGCGGCCACAGCCCAGGTGTGCGCGGGGGACACCGAGGCCAGCAGCGCCCGGACCCCGCACGCCGGCGGGACGGGGAGGGGGGGGAAGGAAAAGGGAGGGGAGGGGAGAGGAGGGGAGGGGACTTTTTGAACACGTGCGCCGCCGCCGGGAGGAGGTGGGCGGCTGCGGAAGGGGATGCGCACACCTCGCACCCAAAGGCGTCAGCCGCCCCTCCCTGTCCTCGCTGGGCGTCTGGGATGTGAGGGCGGAGGGGGTTGGGGGTGCAGGAGGGCAAAGCCCTTGGACCCCAGGATCTGCTCAGCTGGCTTCTCCCAAACTGTGATGCTCTTCGTGCTCAGCGCCCCTCCCGGCCCCTGCAAGATCCTCCCTGGGCCGAAACCGGTGTGGCTCAGTGGATAGAGCATAGGCCTGGGGGCTGAAGGGTCCCAGGTTCGATTCCAGTCAAAGGCATGTGCCTTGGTTGCGGGCGCATCCCCGGTGGGGGGCGTGCAGGAGGCAGCTGATCGATGTTTCTAGCTTTCTATCCCTCTCTCTTCCTCTCTGTAAAAACTCAATAAAGTATATTTAAAAAAATAAATAAAAAGGACAACTTTAAAAAAGAAAAAGAAAAGGAAAAAAAAAAAGATCCTCCCTCGGCTAGTTCCCTCTCACCCCCATCCTTCCCGGCCTCTGACCTTGGGGTGGGAAAAGTGGGGTGCCCGCACTATTCTGGGCTCCATGCGGGTGGAGGAACTGTCCCAAGTGCTTGCTGCTGGAGACAGGCCCCTCGGTAACTAGCTGCAAGCGTCTACACCTCTCTAAGCCTCGGGCTCTTAATCTGAAAACCGGGATACGAATCCTACCAGCCCACGTTAAAGGCCTAAGTGAGAACACAGATAAAGAGCCTGACACGGAGCCTGGCACTCGGTCCATGTCCGGTCCATGGGAGGCCGGGTGTTCCTCTGGGCACACCTGGCCCCAGCGGCCCGCGTCTGGGGAATGCACCGGCCTCCAGGAAAAGGTTTCTTACGGGGCAGTGGATGGGGCTACTCTCATTCCAGACCCAACTTGGGTTTCGGAGAAGTCTGGACATCTGGAAAGCAAGGAGGAATATCCTGAGAAGTGATGGGCAGCCGAAACCGGTTTGGCTCAGCGGATAGAGCGTTGGCTTGCGGACTGAAAGGTCCCGGGTTCGATTCCGGTCAAGGGCATGTACCTTGGTTGTGGGTACATCCCCAGTAGGGGGTGTGCAAGAAGCAGCTGATTGATGATATGATTCTCTCTCATCGATGTTTCTAACTCTCTATCCCTCTCTCTTCTTCTCTGTGAAAAATCAATAAAATATATATTTAAAAAAAAAAAAGAAAGAAAGAAGAAGTGATGGGCAGATCCGGGTGGGAGAAACAGCCACTTCCGGTTCGGAGTGGACCTCGGAGCCCCTTGTCCCTCGCACTGTACAGGCACTAAATAGACAGCCGATTGGCGCTTCTCCCGGTGAGCTAGGTGCGCGGTTCAGAGATGTGGTTCCAGCAGCTGTAAGAGCAGGAAGGAAGGCATCACGGAGAGCTTCTAGACCCCCTGCCTGGGGAATGACAGAATCGGGGTCAGGCCTGCAGACTCTGTCTACTACGCCCCAACACGCTTGCACCTATTCCGGCTGGGTCTCCAGTTTGGAAACTCGAACCCTCTCCTTGAGAAGCGGAGACACTAGAGCAAGTTCACTGGCTACTGACATAGCGGTCCACAGGTTAGCATTTAATTGCCTCTGGGTCGAGATCGACTATATACTTGGCCAACCAGCTCGATCAGGTACGGGGCCGGCAGGCCAACCTCCCACGTCCCCTTCCCCCATTCCCCCTTTGGCCCCACCCCAGTTGGCCCCCATTGGGGCAGGCTGGCCAGACCCCACCTGTGCACCAATTCATGCACCAGGCCTCTAGTATTAATAATGAAAAGAAACTTAGAGTGGTTTCCGTTTCTATGCAAAGTCCAAATAATGTGAACATCTTTTGCATTGGGCAAGAATCATACAAAATCATACAATGCTTTTATTTCTTCAATACAAAATAATTTGATTATTTTAACAAAACATATGAGTGCCTCGTTGGTGCTAGGAATGTAAATATGGTGTGCAAATGGTGCTCAGAATTGTTAAAAGACTTAGATAGTCATCATAGTAGCAATCATGTTCTGTCAAAAGTTCTTGGTTCAATAAAAATTATAATTCCCATTGAGAAAACCAATCCAAAGATCAGTTTCACACAATAATGCATTTGAAAGAACAAAACCTTTCAAATTTAGAAATGTATACTTCAACATAACTCATAAAATAGGAGTAAATATTTTGAAAATTGAAAAAGAATTTAGAGAATTAGCCCTAATAAACAATATTCTAATAAAGATATCTATACTTTTGTGGCTTTACAAGAAATAAGTGTTTCTGTTAAATCAATTTAAGAATCAATAAAAGTAATTTATCATATAAAGATAAGTAAAAGAAACTATATAGCAGCAAAGGAATGCGATATGCTTCTTGAAACAAGTCAAATTATAAATCCTAAGCAAGCTATTACAGTGTCTAGTAAGTTATGTAAAATGACGAATGGCAAATGTAAAAAAAGCATCATTAATTTTTAAGTGGTTTCTACTTATTAATTCCTGCAACTTTGCCAAATGATGTTTGCAAATCTCCATGGAGTGGAGGTGATTAGAATTTAATAAAAATCAATCCGACTCATTAAGTATAATGTTCCAGGAGGACAGGAGGACCAGCCAGAGCCAGCTCTCCCATCATGCACCTGAAGCGCCATACATAAGGGGAATCATGTGACTCTTCCAGCCCCAAACCCACAGGTGAGTGCAGCCAGTGCCACGTGGAGCTGAGACAGCACCCAGCTGAGCCCAGTCCGGAGCCGAGTCGTGAGCAAATAAAGGGTGGCTGTTGTTTTAAGCAGCCAAGCTTGGGGGCTCCTTTCTAGGCACTGACAGGCCACAGCGAATGCTCTTAATTCACCAAGGAGACTTTCTAGTTTGGCCCCCACTGTGGACAGAACACACGGCTTCTGGAAAGGGGGTGTGAATAACGAAGCAAACTGTCCCAGAGCTTACCTAGATAACATGTTCCTCCAGATCCTGTAACTCCGTTTGCTCTCATTCCTAAAGCCTCCAACACCTCCTCCAGACACACAGGGGCAGAAAGGTCTGGGGATGGGGGGATGGATGGATGGATGGATAGATGGATGGGTGGGTGGATGGATGGATGGGTGGATGGATGGATTATGGATGGATGGGTGGGTGGATGGATGGGTGGATGGATGGATGGATGGATGAGTGGGTGAATGGATGGATGGATGGATGAATGGGTGGGTGGGTGGATGGATGGATGGGTGGGTGGATGGATGGATGGATGGATGAGTGGATGGATGGATGGATGGATGGATGGATGGATGGATGGGTGGGTGGATGGATGGATGGATGGGTGGGTGAATGGATGGATGGATGGATGAATGGGTGGGTGGGTGGGTGGATGGATGGATGGGTGAGTGGATGGATGGATGAGTGGATGGACAGATGGATGGATAAATGGACAGATGTATGAGTTGATGGATGGATGCAGTTGTTACACTCTAACTGGCACTGCAGTTGACTTAAGCAAGTCTTCCCCACTAGATGAAAAAATGCGAACAAGGACCATGTCTACCTTTCACTTACTCTTCAGAGCACTTACTACTCTGCAGGCACATTAATAAGCAGGGCCCAGCCCAACCTGGACGGCGCTCAGAATCTAACAAGAGTTTCCCGGAGCCAACGATGACTTTGATAAGAACAACAACAGAAGATAAATGTCGTGGAGGCAGCTAGCACAAGGCTCCTGACATCATGTGTATTCAACAGACATATTTTTCACCGAACTGAATCAGATGGCAAGCTAGTCGGAAGCTCGGGGCTTAGATTCCCACTTTCAAGTTGTGCTGGCTTTCCATGAGCAAGTTCACTTCTCCCGCTCCTGCAGATGTGCCTCAGCCCTGACATGAGAGCCAGGTTCAAGCCAACGTGACCTGTGCACGCAGGACACAGCAAAGGTGGAAGCCACGTGCCCATCAAAGAAGCGGGAGAGAGGCAGGGGGGACGGAGGAGGGTCGCTAACCAGGGAAATGCGGATCTCACAGTCTCAGAGAGTCCTCGGGTAAGAGAGGCAGAGCAATGGGACACAGCTTCCTG